CTCTACCAATATTGGGTCCATTACCTCTTCAAAATTGAAGGGATCTGTTCGAGTTTGGTTCTTTGGACAAGGATATGGGAACCATCTCACAACTAAGTCTACTGATGTCCCTAAGGAGGACAAGTCTGATTGGGAAAAGATTGACAACCAGCTTCTGAGTATCCTCTAGCAATCCATTGATCCGATTGTCTTGGATATCTTTTATTCATTTCAAACTTGCACTGAAGTGTGGGAGGAAGCAAAAAACCTCTACACTAATGATGTTCAGCAGCTCTATTTCATCATCTCTCAGTTTATGGAATTGAGCAAATCATCCGACATTCAGATGGAGACATATATTGGCAAGAGTCGCTCTTTGATGCAGGCATATTTGGATATGCTGCCTTACCCTACTGATGCTACTGCATATCGGAAACAGGTGGAACGTCTCTTTATGGTTGCCACACTTTCTGGCCTTCCCGAAGAATATGATAATGTTCGTGATACTATCTTGACTAGTGGGGAGCCTGATCTATCCATGACGTATCAGCGTCTTCTGAATTTGAATAAGAAATCTGCTCCTGCATCGTCTTCTGCTGTTGATTCTACTGCTTTAGTTTCCCGTACTGATTTTCGCGGGCATATTGGAGGTGGAGGTGGACGTGGTCGTGGTAGAGGCCCAGGAGGTCGGGGCCCAGGAGGACGTAGCCCAGGAGGTCGTGGCCCAGGAGGCCCAGGAGGTCCAGTCGGACGTGGTCAGCGACCTCGTTGTCATTACTTTCAGCAACTTGGTCATTATGAGGAACGCTGCTACACCAAGTATTCTCACATGCGACCTTCTTTTGCTGCTAATGTAGCTCAATCGGATACTGCTTCAAATGGTTCAGTCTCTCTCTCCTCTGAAGAATATGCAGCATTCCAGGCCCTTCTCAGGAAGTCCTCTCCTCAATCTCAGGCCTCTGCTTCAGAAACTGGTAATCCTGTTGCTTGTGTTTCTCATTCTGCATCACTTGGTCCTTGGATATTTGACTCAGGTGCTACTGATCACCTCTGTGGTAATAAGGAACTCTTTTCTTCCCTTACATATTCTAATAATTTACCCTCTTTTACTCTTGCTGATGGAACTAAGGCCCCCGTTCATGGGATTGGACAAATCTGTCCAACCTCCTCATTGACCTTGACATCTGTCTATTACATTCCTCACATCCCTTATAATTTAATATCGATTAGTAAATTGATCAATTCTCTTAATTGTATTGTCACATTCTCAAACCATTCTTTTTCTGTGCAGGACCCGGGTACGGGGAAGATGATTGGAGTGGGCCGTGAGTCACGGGGTCTGTTCTACCTTGATGTGCCGAGTCCTTCAGTTGCTTGTTCTCTCACAGAATCTCCACAGCTCATCCACAGTCGTCTCGGGCATCCTAGTCTTGCGAAATTGCAGAAGATGGTTCCTCTTTTATCCGGTCTTCAAACTTTAGATTGTCAGTCATGTCAGCAAGGAAAGCACATACGCTCCTCCTTTGCTAATCGAGTCAATAAACGAGTTGATGCTCCTTTTTCAATTATTCATTCAGATGTTTGGGGTCCTAGTCGTAGTGTGTCTATTTTAGGTTTTCAGTATTTTGTCACCTTTATTGATGATTTCTCCCGTTGTACTTGGATTTATTTAATGAAAAACCGTTCTGAGTTGTTTTCTATTTATCAAAAGTTTTCTGCTGAAATTCATACTCAATTTGGTGCTTCTATTCGTATTTTACGTAGTGATAATGCTAAGGAGTATGTTTCTGTTGACTTTTTTCACTTCTTAGCCACACAGGGTACTTTACACCAAACCACTTGTCCTCACACTCCACAACAAAATGGAGTAGCTGAACGTAAGAATAGACATCTCATTGAGATTGCCAGGACTCTTCTTATTCACATGCATGTTCCTCTTCACTTCTGGGCTGATGCAGTCCTTGCTTCTTGCTTTCTCATCAACCGCATGCCTTCATCTGTGCTTAATAATGATATTCCTCATAACTTATTGTTTCCAGATGTTCCTCTCTTTCCTCTATCCCCACATGTTTTTGGTTGTACCTGTTTTGTTCATGATCTCACTCCTGGTAAGGATAAGTTAACATCCAAAGCCTTTAAATGCATTTTTCTTGGTTATTCTCGTCTTCAAAAGGGTTATCGCTGTTACTCTCCTGACCTCAAGCGTTACTTAGTTTCCGCGGATGTCACCTTTTTTGATCAACAACCTTTTAATTCTATCCCATCTCCATTGTCACAGGTTGATCATGTTCTTCCTGTTCCTTTTCTTGACTTGTCTTTGCCAGATGCAGGTGCTTCTACTCCAGATAAGCAATCACCTATTGCTCCAGTACCTATGGACCGTCCACTTCTCACTTATCAGCGTCGTAAGACAGTACCTCCAGTCGACTCGACCCCTGCTGACTCATTGCCCTCTGCAGTTGATTCTTCCCCTCCGGATCCTTCACTAGAGGCTCTTCCCATTGCTCAAAGAAAAGGTACACGTACTACTCGTAACCCTTATCCTCTTTATACCTTCTTGAGCTATGATCGCCTTTCTCCTCCTCATTTCACCTTTGTTTCTAGTCTTTCTTCTGTTTCTATTCCTAAGACCACAGGTGAAGCACTTTCCCATCCAGGATGGCGCCAAGCGATGCTTGATGAGATGACCGCACTTCATACCAATGGCACTTGGGACTTGTTTCTGCTCCTCCAGAGAAGTCTATAGTTGGTTGTCGCTGGGTGTTTACTGTGAAAGTTGGACCTGATGGCCATGTTGATCGTCTCAAGGCACGCCTAGTTGCCAAGGGTTTTACTCAAATCTTTGGCCTTGATTATAGCGATACATTCTCTCCAGTCGCTAAGATGGTGTCCGTCCGCCTATTTCTTGCCCTTGCTGCTGTTCGTCACTGGCCACTCCTTCAACTTGACATCAAAAATGCCTTTCTTCATGGTGATTTACAAGAAGTTTACATGGAGCAACCACCTGGTTTTGTTGCTCAGGGGGAGTCTGGGAAGGTATGTCGTCTTCGAAAATCCTTATATGGTCTCAAGCAGTCTCCTCGAGCATGGTTCAGTCGCTTCAGTTCTGCTGTACAGGCGTTTGGCCTAATTCGCAGTAAAGTTGACCATTCTGTATTCTATAGGATTACATCTCCTAACAAGTGCATCTATTTGTTAGTCTATGTTGATGACATCATCCTCACCGGAAGTGATCAAGACGGAATCCATCAGTTAAAACAACATTTATTCAGTGCATTTCAAACAAAGGACCTTGGGAAGCTGCGTTACTTCTTGGGAATTGAGGTGGCGCAATCTAGACAGGGCATTTCTATCTGTCAAAGGAAGTATGCCTTGGATATCCTAGAGGAGACTGGTATGTTGGGGTGTAAACCAGTTGATACACCCATGGATCCTAATGTTAAGTTATTGCCCAGACAGGGGGAGCCGTTATCTGATCCTGGACATTATCGAAGGCTGATTGGGAAGCTCAATTATCTTACTGTGACTAGGCCAGATATTTCTTTCGCTGTCAGTACGGCCAGTCAGTTCCTTGATTCCCCTTGTGATTCACATTGGGATGCTGTTGTGAGGATCCTCCAATACATCAAAGGAGCACCAGGAAAAGGTTTGTTGTATTCGGATCAGGGAAATACAGAAATTTGTGGTTACTCAGATGCCGATTGGGCAGGATCACCCTCGGACAGACGCTCTACTTCTGGTTATTGTGTCTTCTTCGGAGGAAACTTAATCTCATGAAAAAGCAAGAAACAACCTGTTGTTTCCCGATCTAGTGCAGAAGCTGAGTATCGTGCAATGGCAAATACTACCTGTGAGTTGATCTGGTTAAAGCAGTTGATTCAGGAGCTTCATCTTTGTGAACAGAAACAACCCATGACACTCATCTGTGATAATCAAGTTGCGCTACATATATCCTCTAATCCTGTTTTTCATGAGAGGACCAAACATATAGAGATTGATTGTCACTTCATTCGGGAAAAGATTCGGTCAGGAGAAATCAAGACAGCTTTTGTCAACTCGTCTAATCAACTAGCAGATGTTTTCATTAAAGCTCTTAGAGGTCCTCAGGTTGAATACATTTGTAACAAGCTTGGTGCTCATAATATATATGCACCAGCTTGAGAGGGAGTGTTAGAATATTAGATATGATTAGATTTGATTAGATATGATTGGATTCTGTCTTATCCGTAAATAGTCTGACTGTATTCTGACTGTATTAGGATTAGGATTAGGTTTGGGCCTTACACTTAAGCCCATTAGGGTCTCTATATATTGTAACTCCCTGACACAGATCAATACACAACGTATTCTTTTACATTTAACTGCAACTAAATGAATTGGCACTTTCAATCTAAATGAACCTAATTAATTATTGGCAGCTATAAAATGAGGATTCGAAGTATTTTGGCTTATTAACCTTACATATTAAAGATGTCACTAAATTGTGGTGATACAAGAGATTATTTCTTCACTGGATTTAGGGTTTTAAATGGCATGTAAGTAAGAATTGGTGGAAAAACGACATTATGCGTACTTGATTGACACTCCCACAAGAGGTCAGGTGAGCGGACTATTTGTGAAAAAAAGGATGGAGCCAAATAGACAAACTAAACCACATTCTTGGAAATTTAGGAATCGATTTGCACATTTTTTGAAGTCTCAAGACTACAGTGGACATGACTGTAAGTTGAAGGAGATATAAGTTAGAATTTTCCTTTAAAGACAAGTAAAGAAGAAAAAAAATTCCAAAAAAAAAAACTTGCAGCAACAATAAGGCACAACCAAAAGCAAACAGGGATTAAAAGGGGACAAAGAATTAAATAGAAATTTTAAAAATTATGAAATCTACTGTCCCAACAAGGACACAAAAATCTAATTTTTCATACCAAATAATTTCTAGCATTTATAGCTCATTAAAAACGTAAAATCAGATATTCAATATAAGAACACAACAAAAACTGCAAGTAAAAAATAAGAATTACCTGAACTTTACCATTTCCCAGTATTTTAGTCACCCATCCAGACCAGTAGCAACCATCTGTCCACCAATCTACCAAATCCCCAACTTTCCATCCATTATCAACAATGACTACCACTTCTGAGATGGAATTGACATCAAGCTTTTCACTTTCGTGATGGATAGTAGGAAACGAAGGTCGCACCATCAATTCCCTGTTGAAGCCCTTTGACTTGCTAATATAAGTTGGGGGCTTTTGATACAACTTGATCCAACTTAACTCTGCAAACAAGTATATTAACAATTATAACTTCAAATGAATTATTATCTTCCAACTTCTATGGTAGTTATCTTAGTTTCTTTGGGACATGAACTGTAGCATTTTAAAAGGGCTGGGATTCTGAGACATACGCTGATCTTTGGGGATTGAAGGGCTCTCTTGAGCTTGTTAGATCTTTGTAATTGACGTATATGTATAAAGTCATTTAGTGCTCTGAGAATGGAGCAAATTAGGGATAAACACTCCTATAATTAGTCACGTAATTAATCATTCACAACTATAATTATGTCCTTCTTGAGTGGTCTGCTCTAGATGCATAATTCCAGCATATTCTCTAATTTCATGACAGTATTAAAGCTCGTATATGATCCATCTTTGTTCTAACAAAACCTAACCTGCTATGCCAATTGCCGTCATAGATTTGCACAACCATGCTTCAATTTCAACATTTTCCATCCTGATCTTGCTTTAGTTACAGCAATTCCTTTCCTAATCACATCTCAATCATGGAAAACACCAACAGTTATGTCTTCCAGCAACCATTATAGCATTGTTTTGTTTTTTTCATAATAGTTAAAAGCAGATTGCGGCCTGTTGTGGCAACCCTGAAAAACACTATAGCGCTATAGCGGGTTGCGGTTGCGGAAATAGCGGAATGAATTAATAGAACCTAGATACATACCACATATATATGCTAAAATAAAAAATTATTAACTTTTAAACATTATTAAGTGTGTTTAATAATTCACAGTTTGTAAAATAAAATAAAAAGTACATAATTTTTATTTAAGTAAATTGAAAGTAGTGGGTTCACAGCTTTTTTTCCTTTTTAAATTTAACCTAATCAGAGGAGTTTAGCAAATAAACACAGGACTGTCATGTGTGTCAATATATATGTATGAATGAGTCTAACATATGACCAGAGAGCATTAACCTATTATGAGAGTCAGAAAAAAAATAACCAAGACCAAAAAATGAAGGACAGATAAAATAAGGGAAGAAGTCAGGAAAAAACCTAAAAAAAATAGGAGGGTAGAAAAAAATAGAAGGGCGGAAAAAAGAAATAAGAAAAAAAAAATAGGATGGTAGAAAAAAAGAAGTAAGAGAATAAAATAAAGTTAGAAACCTTAAAAGGATGCACGAGTCAAGAGACAAGGAGAAGCTGCCGACTGGGAATCCTTAAAATATCGAACAAGAAAGGTCCGTGGAATAGAAAAGTATCAAATAACAAAGCTGAGAGCCTTTTTCCTTTGGTAGAGTGTGTCAGTGGAATTTTTTTTTTTTAAAAAAAGGAAAGCTGTCCCTCAGAGAGGCCCAATGTCCTTTTAATAATAAATAAAGAAAAGGACAAAAATATCCTCGCCTTTTTTCTGTTTTGCATAGGAAAAAAAGTATTTCCTCTTCGTTTGCTTTTCATCTGCGTTATCCGCTATTTCGTCCGCTTCAGCCGCGATCTCTTTTCAGTGCAGTGTGGCACTGCCAGTTTGTCGCGGAGGTCCTCCACAACCCGCGAACGGCGCAGGTAGCCCCCCATTAGTGGGGCTTTTGACTAGTATGGCTTTTTTGACAATATCAAAAGGCAACAAACAGTCAATAAAACATTGAAATTACCACTAAGGTCAAATTGGCCAAACCATGCCATAACACCGCTAGAATCCCTCCCATGCACCGCCATATCATCAATGCCAAAACACACTAATTAGAGAGTAAAAGTGCGTGAGAGCCCCAATCAGTGACATCATTTGACCTCCTCCTAGATGGCTTCAGGTGTCTAAGTTGTGGGATAAATTTTAAGTACTACTATAATAATGAGGACTCAGTGTTATACCCACCAAAATTAGAAACACATAACTAACCTAAGTGCATTTACTCACCCACTTCTTTATTTTTAATGCCACATGAGTCCACATGTTTCTTATTTTAGTAAAAGAATATGTACTACAAAAGTACTGAATTTTCTGAGTTGTGGATGTTGAAAATATAAGGATTTAGGTAGGGAAGGGAAAAAAGAGAGAATAAAGATTAAATAATATGAAATTGGTATTGATTTGATGTGTTATGATGTGATACAAACTACAAAACACTAATCTATATTTATATTAATATTAAACTCCAGATCCTAACTGAAAAAGGAAATAAATCATTAAATATAAAGAAACAAGGAAACTATTCCTAACTGACCATGTACGAAACTCTATACTATTCTAAATGTAAAGAACCATTTTAACCCAAAACCTTAAGGTGTTGGGTGAGAGCCTTTTTAATGGTTTATATTATTCTCTAACACAACCCCTCATGCAAGAGCCCTTCGGGGTTGAAGCGTGGATATTACATAGACCCAATTTTTTTGGTTTTACCTTGTGCTTATTTAATTCCACTTGAAAGTGAGGGGGGGATGAGGATCGAACTCGTGACCCTGTGGTCACAGAGGCTCTGATACCATGTAAAGAACCATTTCAACCCAAAACCTTTAGGTGTTGGGTTAGAGCCTTTTTAGTGGTTTATATTATTCTCTAACACTAAGATATAATCAAGATATTCTATGATATCTCTTTACATCATATATACTTTTCTTCTTCACAAGAACTCCTTGTCCTGTCTCTATGCCCTTCGTGGCATTATTTACATCACCTTTATCCCAAACTAGTTGGGGTCGGCAATCTCTACGCCCTTCATGTCTCTATATAAATTCTTTATTTACCCCAAAAGCAAAATGCTTCATATAGGCAAACATCAAACAATAATATCTTTTCTCATAAAAGAGGAACATAAAATTTTACATTTCACCTAAGAGACCATATAAGGAACTTTCAACTATTCCAAATTTTACATTACATCTTCTATACTATTATGTTTCACAAGGACTTCTTGTCCTATCTCTATGCCCTTCATTTCTCTTTATAAATTATTTATTTACCCCAAAAGCAAAAATGCTTCATATAAGCAAACATCAAACGATAATATATTTTCTCGTAAAAGAAGGAACGTGAAAATTTGCATTTAACCCAACTATATTCCAATTCATCAGAAGAAATGAAATGTTCATATTACACCAAACATACGACCATTCATATAACTTAATTCAATAAGCTAATATAACTCTAGTTTCAATTTTAACACAAAGCAAAAACATACTTTGATCAGGATAGTCAAAATGCTCCAGTAGATGGGCCATCACGCCATTTTTCGTCCGAATCTCTCTTATCTGAAAGAATAATATAAAAATAACTTCAGGCCTCATAAATACCAAATACAAATTTTTTTATCCATACACATGCCCAAATAAATGACAGACACTAGTTGAGCGGCATATTCCCATCACAAAAAGCATTCTGGGAAAGGCTAGCAGAAGCTCACATGTGTAACCTACTGATTCTACAAGCACTTATTTTGAGAACCACCAAGTTTGTCTAATGAAATATACAATGCAGCTGGAAAGGGTTTCAAAAGCAAGGGAATATAGATAATCACTTAAGAAAGATCCAGCAAGAAACAAATGAAATTAATACTTGACTTGAACTTATAGGTTGTGTTTGATGCACACTGAGGAATAGTACAATGAAAAAAGCACAGGATAACTAGCTGAGTCACAACTCAACCTTTTTGTTTTGTATACTGTTTGGTATTCGTCACACAGCGCAAACAATTGTGTTATGTTATTTGATACGCTTAAGTACTTGATAGAATAATGCAAAATGTACAATATTATCCTTTCTGTTATGAATTGTTTGTTTTGCATCAAGAATGCACGGGACTTTCAATATTTTTAATTTAATTAACTATTTTCACACTCTAATTTTTTATAACTTATTAATAATGTTGATATATTTCTTATTTAATTTTTATATTTATCATATAATTATAAATAAAAAATTTAAATATAATTATAATTTAATTATTATTATATAACCATAATTAGTATATGTAATTTATATCACATTTGTATGCTGTGCGCCAACACCCAAGGCAACATAGCTGCTCCAATAATTAGATAGTTATCTGTCTAATAGGTTTTTTAGTTAAGTATTAGATCTGTTACTATCAGATCCAATATTTTGTTATCAGGACTATAAGGTAGTTATCTGATTTATTATTCTGTTAGTTGTTACTTAGTTGTATGCTACATGGCAAATCTGGTATGTTGTTACAACTGCCTCAAGTCTTTACCAGACCTCTTGGCTTGCTTAACAAGCTTTCTGGATGTCTATGAATAGAGCTCTTTCTGCTTAGAGAAGCCTTAGTTTTACATTAATATAAGAAGCATTCAGTCACAGCTCTCTCTTTTACTCGTTCTTTGCTTTTCCTCAGTTTGTTTCTTTTTACCTCACTTTCCTTTATAGTATTAGACCCTAATCGAGGGCCCTAATCCATTTACTAGCTTCACCAGTTGTTGATTCTTCTATTGTAAATCAGGATCTAGCCTTCCATGGCTGTTCATCAAAACAAATCTCCAAAACTCTTCTAACATCAGATTTCAGTAAAACTCACTAAAGAATTTTCTACCATGGAAACAAGTGGAGCCAGTGATGAAGGCCAATACGTTGCATAGATTTGTGGTAAGTCCTTAATTTCTGCTTTGACTCGCTTCTGAGGATGATCGAATACATGACAAAGTCAGCAAAGCTTATACTGACTAGGAAAGGCAAGATCAAATGCGTATTTCGTAGCTTCTCCCATCCCTTCCGGAGCCAATTCTTAAAAAAAAAAGAAAAAAAAAAATCTTGGGAGTTGTACATTCTTCGCTAGCTTGGGAGATGATCATGATCCATTACCATTTTCACTGAGTTGAGAAATATCAAGAAAGGTGGTGGATCAATTTAAAAATATCTTCTTCAAACTAAAGCCCTCCCAGATTCATTATTATCAATTGTCCATTGGTGACCGAACCACCAATGGAGATCAAGTTGATCTCATTTTGGATGCACTGCCAGAGGAGTATGACCCCTGTGTGACAACAATTCACAGCAGAGAGAATCCACGCATGCTGGATGAATTAGAATATTATGGAACTCAATTCAACAGTCATATTTCCACGAAGATAAAATAGAAACAAGCTCCTACAAACACCAACGAACTGACCCTTGAACTCCTAATTTGGCTGAGACAGCCTTTGGATTACAATGAAAGAGATAACAGAGGGCTCCAACAGCACCTCTCCTTACACAATACCCCCAATCAATCAATTACAAATCACATACCCCACTCCCCGTATTTACCTACCTTTTATCACATCCTCTAGGAATATTCTAGAAGAATTCTCAAACTAACTAACTCACTCTCTTTCAGGACCATCAGAATCACAACTCCAAGCATAAGAAGCTAGGTTGGAGAAGCATTGGGGCGACACTCTCTGACTCTACGCCCATCAATGTTGCCCAGACCAATACACAAAAAGGTAGCGATTATGTGCCCAGACCGTTAGTCAATGTTTTAGTGAACCAGCAACAAAACAGAAATTTCAGATCTCATGCATATCTGTTTTAGGGATATTATCCGAGTGATAAAAACTATAAATATCTTAGTCCAACAAGGAGACTTTTCATCTCTAAGATGAAATCTTTCACAAATCCAGATTACATATTCCACTATATTCAAATCCATACCTGCTGTAATTACTCACTCCTCCAATGTGCCAAGTTGCATTACCTTGGTCTCCTCCACCACAACTTTAGTCAACCCCACATCAGCTTCCCAAGTTTCCTCTTTCCTCTTCAGGCACTGTTTACTGTAACTACTCATTCTCCAGCACCTTCAGCTTCTTCTTCTTCTCCAACCCTTATGCATTCTTCTCAGCATATTGCATCCTCAAATTCCTCATCTGCTACTCCACTTACATCACACTCTTCCACACATTCTCAAACTCCATCTTCTACACCTGCCGTCATCTTCTGAGTCCCCACTCTTTACTCAGTGCTCCTCCTATAAGAACTCGTTCTAAAGGTGACTCACTTGGAACCAACTTATGTTAAGCAACCTCTTGTTGATCCCAAGTGGTTATAAACTATGCATGCTGAGTTCTCAGCTCTTCAAACCAATGGTACATGATCTCTGGTTCCTTTGCCATTAGCAGTAAATGAGTATTCAAAATGTAGGAAAAACCTGATGGATCTACCAAAAAGTACAAGGTCATATTAGAGACGAAAGGGTTTCATCAACAGGCTGGTTTTGATTACAACGAGACATTCTCAAAAGTTGCCTAGCCTGTTACTATCTGGACAGTACTTGCTCTCTATAATCACAGGACAGTCCAAGAATTAGATGTCAATAATGCATTTTTAATGGGATTAGAGGAGTTTTACATGGTTCAACCTCCTAGTTTAAAATCAACTAACAGACCCCTTGTTTGTAAACTGCACAAGGCACTCTAAAGGTCTAAAGCATGCCCCTTGGGCATGGTTTGAGAGGTTTTCTCTTTCCCTCATCAGGTTGGGATTCAAATCCAGCAAATATGATCCCTCTTTACTCATTAACATGATAACTTCTCACTGTATTTACATTCTGGTTTATGTGGATGGCATCATCATCACCAGCAATTTCCTCGCATATACACAGCTAATCTCAAGGTTGGATTCTATGTTTTCATTCTCTGTTTGCCATCAAGCAACTTGGTACTCTTGACTACTTTCTCGGTATTGAGGAGCACTTTCCAACCAGCGCCATTTATTTTCTCAAGCCAAATATATTCGAGTTGCCCTTACAAGAGCTAATTTTCCTAAAGCAAAGGGAAATTCTACACCTAGTCAGCTACACCTGAAAGTGGTAAGCATTCCAAGCATGGAGCACTCCAATATATTATAATCCAAATCCTCAATAATATCGATCTACTATGGGAGCACTCCAATATACTACCCACACTAGGCCCAAAATCAGTTTGGTATCTTTTTTATTCTCAAGAAAGTTTTAGCCAAGAATTTGTGGGTCTACCATATTCCTGCCCATGCTCAAATTGCTAACACCTTGACCAAGTCTCTTTCTACAGCTCGATTTTGTGAGGTACAATAAAAACTCATAATCTTGGACCACCTGCAGTTGCTCCAACAACCTTGAGTTTGTGAGGTTGTATTGGAGTATACATCACAATACATGTATTTCACATTGCAGTTGTATATTATGAAACAGCACACAGGGCAACATAGTAGCTCCAACACAGATTATTTGTATGTTAGGTATGTTGGGTAGTTCTCAAATCTGTTATTCTGTTATTAATACTACTTGAGATTAAAGAATAATTGTATATTGAATAATTGTAGTGTATTACAATGTACAAGAGCTCTCTATTTAAAGAGACTAAAAGACCTAATAGGCTGAGCTCATACGATGTGGGACTATATATATACTGAACTATGTTTACAACTATTCGAACACTCCCCCTCAAGCTGGAGCATATATATTGTAAGCACCCAGCACGCCACAAATATATTCAACCCGAGGACCCCTAAGAGCTTTAGTAAAGACATCCGCGAGTTGATCATTGGAGTTGACAAATTCCGTTTTGATTTCTCCTGACTGAATCTTTTCTCGAATGAAATGACAATCGATCTCTATATGTTTGGTTCTCTCATGAAATACAAGATTAGAGGATATATGCAGTGCAGCTTGATTGTCACAAATGAGAGTCATGGGTTTCTTCTATTCACAAATATGGAGCTCCCGAATCAACTGCTTTAACCAGATTAGCTCGCAGGTAGCAACTCCCATTGCACGATACTCGGCCTCTGCACTAGATCGGGCAACAACAGTTTATTTCTTACTTTTCCAAGAAATCAGGTTTCCTCCAAAGAAAACACAATAGCCTGAAGTAGTGCGCCTATCCGAGGGTGATCCTGCCCAATCGGCATCTAAATAACCACAAATTTCTATATTTCCCTGATCTGAATATAATAAACCTTTCCCTGGTGCTCCTTTGATGTAACGAAGGATCCTAACAGCAGCATCCCAATGAGAATCACACGGAGACTCAAGAAACTGACTAGCGACACTAACAGCAAAAGAAATGTCCGGCCTAGTCACAGTGAGATAATTGAGCTTCCCAATCAACCTCCGATAACGTCCAGGATCAGATAATGGTTCTCCTTGTCCGGGTAGTAATTTGATAGTAGGATCCATGAGTGTGTCAACTGGCTTACACGCCAACATACCAGTCTCTTCTAGGATATCCAAGGCATACTTCCTTTGACAGATAGAAATGCCCTGTCTAGATTGTGCTACCTCAATTCCCAAGAAGTAACGCAGCTTCCCGAGGTCCTTTGTCTGAAATTGACTGAATAAATACTGTTTTAACTGACGAATTCCAGCTTGATCACTCCCGGTGAGGATGATGTCATCAACATAGACTAACAAATAGATGCACTTATCAGGAGATGTGATCCTATAAAACACAGAGTGGTCAACTTTACTGCGAATTAAGCCAAACTCCTGAACAGCAGAACTGAAGCGACTGAACCATGCCCGAGGAGACTGCTTGAGACCATATAAGGATTTGCGAAGACGACACACCTTTCCAGACTCCCCCTGAGCAACAAAACCCGGTAGTTGCTCCATATAAACTTCTTCTTGTAAATCACCATGAAGAAAGGCATTTTTTATGACAAGTTGAAGGAGTGGCCAGTGACGAATAGCAGCAAAAGCAAGAAATAGGCGAACTGACGCCATCTTAGCAATCGGAGAGAATGTATCACTATAATCAAGGCCGAATATTTGAGTAAAACCCTTTGCAACTAGGCGGGCCTTGAGTCGATCAACATGGCCATCAGGTCCAACTTTCACAGTAAACACCCAGCGACAACCAACTATAGACTTCTCTGGAGGAGAAGAAACAAGGTCTCAAGTGCCATTGGAATGAAGTGCAGTCATCTCATCAAGCATCACTTGGCGCCACCCTGGATGGGAAAGTGCTTCACCTGTGGTCTTAGGAATAGAAATAGAAGAAAGACTAGAAACAAAGGTGAAATGAGGTGAAGAAAGACGGTCATAGCTCAAAAAAGTATAAAGAGGATAAGGGTTACGAGTAGTACGTGTACCTTTTCTTTGAGCAATGGGAAAAGCATCTGGTGAAGGATCCGGAGGAGAAGAAGCAACAGCAGTGGGCGATGAGTCAGCAAGAATCGAGTCGACAGGAGGCACAGTTTTGCGACACTGATAGGTGAGAAGTGGACGGTCCTCAGGTATAGAAGCAATAGGTTGCTCATCTGGACTAGAAGCACCTGCAGCTGGCAAAGACAAGTCAAGAAAAGGGACAGAAAGAACATGATCAACCTGTGACAACTGAGATGGGATAGAATTAAAGGGTTGTTGATCAAGAAAAGTGACATCAGCAGAAACTAAGTAACGCTTAAGATCGGGAGAATAACAACGATAACCTTTTTGAAGACGAGAATAACCAAGAAAGATACACTGAAAGGCTTTGGATGTTAACTTATCCTTACCAGGAGTGAGATCATGAACAAAACAAGTACAACCAAAGACATGTGGAGTTAGAGGATAAAGAGGAACATCTGAAAGCAATAGATTATGAGGAATGTCATTGTTGAGCACAGATAAAGGCATGCGATTGATGAGAAAACAAGAGATGAGTACAGCATCTGCCCAGAAGTGAAGGGGAACCTGCATATGAAGAAGAAGGGTACGTGCAGTTTCAATGAGATGTCTGTTTTTACGTTCAGCCACCCCATTTTGTTGTGGAGTGTGAGGACAAGTAGTTTGATGTAAAGTACCTTGTGTTGCCAAGAAATTAGAAAAATCAATAGAAACATATTCCTTAGCATTATCACTACGTAGAATACGAATAGAAACACCAAATTGAGTATGAATCTCGGTAGAAAACTTTATAAATGGAAAAAACTCAGAACGATTTTTCATTAAATAGATCCAAGTGCAACGGGAAAAATCATCAATAAAGGTAACGAAATACCGAAAACCTAAAACAGACAAGGTACGACTTGGACCCCAGATATCTGAATGAACAAGAGAGAAAGGAGCATCAGCTCGTTTATTGACTCGACTGGCAAAAGAAGAACGTGTATGCTTCCCTTGTTGACATGACACACAATCTAAAGACTGAAGACCAGATAAAAGAGGAACCATTTTCTACAACTTTGAAAGACTTGGATGACCGAGGCGACTGTGGATAAGTTGTGGAGATTCTGTGAGAGAGCATGCCACTAAAGGACAAGGCACATCCAGATAGTAAAGCCCCTGTGACTCACAACCCACTCCAATCATTTTCCCCGTACCCGGATCCTGCACAGAAACAGAATAGTTAGAGAAAGTAATGGTGCAAGTGAGGGAGTGGATCAACTTACTAATATAAATTTAAGTTATAAGGGATGCCAGGAATGTAATAAACAGATGTCAAGGCCAAGGTAGAGGTCGGACGAGCTTGTCCAATCCCACGAACTGGGGCTTTGGTTCCATCCGCAAAGCTAAAAGAAGGTAAATGATCAGAATAAGTAAGAGATGTAAAGAGTTCCTTATTACCACAGAGATGATCGGTAGCACCTGAGTCAAATATCCAAGTGCCAAGTGATGTAGAATGAGAAACACAAGCAACGAGATTACCAGTATATGGCTGAGACTGAGGAGAAGCCTTCCTGAGAAGAGTTTGGAGTCCAGCATAGTCCGCGGGTGAGAGAGAACCTGAACCGAATGATGCATTGTCTGACTGAGCTATATTTGCAACAAGAGAGGTGTCCCAATCTTTGTAGTTAACCTCCGAGAGATCAGAAGATGTTGCTGCCATTTAAAGACAAAAGATAATAGTCGTAAACGAAGGCAAACAATATCCAATCAAGGAGAACCACTCGTCTAAAGTGACACCCACAAAGAATCAAACACAGATCCGGAAAGATGAGGAAAAACCGAGCTAGTCTGTCCAGAAATGACCGGAAAAAGACGCCGGAACAGTGCACACGCGCTGGTGAAGGGTGGCGCGTGAGCAAAACGCGCAGGGAGAAGGAGCAGCGCGTGAGAGCACGTGGGGACTCCTCTGATGACGGGTCTTCCACAGACTTGGTCGCCGGAGAGAAAGGGCTCTGATCGCAGCCTTTCCGGTTGAAATCGACGCCGGAACAGTGCTCCGGTGGCTTGAACAGTGACGAGCGGCAGTTGTTGGCGGCGGGACGTGGTTCTGACAGTTGAAGAAACAAGCCGGAGAGACACACGGCTTAGAGAAAAAACTAGCCGGAAGAATGCACGGCAAAGTAGAAGAGAACACCTAAGCAGTGGGCATAGGGTTTTAGCGGAAGCGGATCCCCAGAGTGAAAAAGCTCTGATACCAACTTGAGATTAAAGAATAATTGTATATTGAATAATTGTAGTGTATTACAATGTACAAGAGCTCTCTATTTAAAGAGACTAAAAGACCTAATAGGCTGAGCTCATACGATGTGGGACTATATATATACTGAACTATGTTTACAACTATTCTAACAATACTGTTAGGTAGTTATCAGATCTGTTATTTTGTTAGTTGTAACTTAATTGGGGGCCACCTGGCAAATCTGGTAAAGACCTGAAGCAGTTGTAACTACATACTACATTTGCCACATGGAGCAACTATGTTGCCCTGGGTGTTGTCGCACTAAATACAAATTTAATGTAAAATACATATATTGTGATATGTACACTGGTACTCATCGTTCCAAAGCTTAGATCTTGGTGTGGTCAAGGGAGCAGAAATGGGAGATAAGATTCTAGGTTTGCAAGAAAGTCTCGATGGAATGCTTGGTATGGTCAAGGTATTTTTGATTTATTGATACTTTGTGATGTGCGACACAATGTTGACCCCTATTTTATTGAGGAACAATAAATGACAAATCCCGGTGCATAAGGCTCCCGACTTTGCAATGGTAGATCTTGGTGCTACTGCCTAGCCCCACCTACATTTTTTTCGAATTACGACTACTCAATTTTTTTTCCAAAGCTTAGATCTAAGGGGTTGGAGTTAAGCCACTCGACTATAAGGAGAGAAGTGAAGTTTGCATAGTATAGCTTTACCCAAAAATTTCAGGCTCGTATTAATAACCAATATAACCACAGACCTTTTGAGCAAGCACTGTGGGTGTTCTTTCCACTAAAACTTCACTATCCACCTCCATGGCTTGCTCATTGAGGTGGTCTACTAGTTGCCTTAATTCTGCTGAAGAACTTGTCGATTCCCTGATTTTCGTTGCCTCCGCCAGCTGCTGTAACTCAGGGATGATTGGGGGTGTAATTCTACCGGTTGTCTTGTGCTTATAGTGGGACAAATAAAGGACAAACCCCAATACACAAGGCTCCCTAACTTTGTGAGGGTAGGGATCAAGGTTGATTCCATGCAGCCTTACCTTTGCTATTTTGAAAAGCAGTTGTTTGCAATACTAGAACCCCCGACCATTCTGTCACAAAGGAGAAACCTTATTACTGCTCCAAGCTCACTCCTAAGAGACAAATATTTTGTCCCGTTCTATGACTTTTTAAAATCAAACATGGAAGAAATATTTGTCTTGTTGTGTCCTATTTTTAGCAAATGAAACACACCCACAGTTATTTTGGACCCAACTAAGTCAAAATGTGTAACTATTATGTAGGGATGATAAACTTGTATTCAATGCTTACCAAAACTAAACTTTTTAATGATCTTATAGTAATGTGCTTAAACTTTTTAATGAGTTATCCTAATGTATTAACGACAGAAGCTAATGAAGGACTAATTATCAAGCCAACTAACAACTATCATATAGAGTCACTACACTCCTATTATAAAATTAGCTAAATATGATAGTAAATATATACTAGTATTCTAACAATATGAACCATCAAATTAATAGAAAGAACCACAAAATCCACAAGAACATGATTATATTTTTGTTGAAGTGTGCATTTGATAAATGTGTCTCATAAGTAACCAAACCCAAAAAGTTGCTTTCTTCATAATTTAGTTCCATTGTTTTGCACTCCAACTTTATGAAAAGAATAAAATAATTCAGAGAAGATATAATATATACCTTGCATCGAAACCATGCACCACGAAAACCAACTTGAAAAGATCTTGACTCAGCCGAATCCCCAACTTGAAATGGAAGGTCAGGCATCTTCAACAAAGGCAGTTCTACTTTTTTTAATGCAAAACCTTGATAAAACAAGGGCTGAAAATATGATTGCATAAAACATGCATTACACAATGATTTTAAGATTCGAACTTGGGACAAGTAAGTAGACTGAGGTGTTGATGTAATAGTGATCAAGCCCATAAAATTGCGAATTGATAAGGGATATATTTAGACATCGATGGATAAGTTCAAAAATCAAAAGGGCAAAATAAGAATTATATATATTAGAACATAATCTTAAATTGGCCCTTCAAATATTAGGGTATGACAACATTAGTCCATAAAAGATTTTTTTCAACAAACAAATCTCTTAAAGATATAAAAATTCACCACATTCTTCCTTTAGCTGACTCACATTAGTCCTCCGCAAGGAGTAAGGACAAAAGAGGCAACATCATCTCTCTTTGGGGGACTCATTTTTGGAGGACTAATGTAATCACATCCTAATAAGAATTCTAAACCATGTCAATAATTAAAAATACTGTCATTCCTAACTCTTGAAGATGTTTGTTCATTGGCTGCCATCTTCAATTTGGTTGCTGGAACAAAGTTGGCTAAGTTGTCAAAAGTAAAAACTACTGATGTGGATCAACAAAATTGGAATAAAAAATAATTTGAATAAAAAAAAAGTTGAACAGAATCTGTTCAACAGATTTGGATTTGAACAGAATTGAAAAAATTATAGATTAATAGAATTGGATTGAGAAAAATAAATAAATATTGATCACAAATCAATGTTCAACTCTTGCTAAAGTTAAAATACCTTTTGCTTAAGCTTTCAAAAATGTAATGAAGCTGTTTTCACTTTTACTATGTTATCATAAGCGGAGCTTTTTTATTTATATATGGTGGAGAAAAGCTATAAATATGGTGGAGGGGTAGACCCGTTGTTATTCTTATGTTCCAGATGGTCCTTTTTTAGTTTTTTTTCCCTTCATCTCCCCTCACTTCTTCTTTTCCCTTTCTTTTTTACTTTTATTTTATTTATATATACATATCTATATACGTATATATTTTATTTTATTTTATTTTTTTATTTTTATTTTTATTTTATTTTTTCAACTGTTTTGTACGTAGATTCATCTACCACCAATCCCAATTAATTTGGGATAAAGGTGATGTTGATGTTGATCATAATCAGAGCTTTTGTGAAAAAAAAATCCATATAACTTTAGATACTTGCATGGCATTAATACCAGAGTTCAAACTCCAAATCCATGTTAAGCAAAAACATAGACTGGTAGAAAAGAGAGTCGAAAACAGAGAAAAAATTTTACAAAAAAAGAAAGAAAAGAAAAGAAGGAGGAGAAAACCTTAAACAGAGAGAATCGGCACCGGAATCCAGTTGCTCGCCGCCGTTCACCGGAAGTGGAAGGGCTGGTCACTGCTGGTCGAGCGGGTCTTAGGTTTTTATCAATGGTTTGACGCATATAAAGAAGAGTTCGATTACAAATGAGGTGTAATTTAAAAAAAAAAAAAAAAAATTACAAATGAGGTTTAAAAGACAGTTTAACCCTTTTAAAAAAGTGTAATTAGTAAAAGGGTTATATTTATCTCATTTTACATGAGATAACAAATATTCCTACATACATAAAAGAGGAGTGGGTTCCACTATTCTTTTTTATCTTTTTTCTTATCTGTGTGTGAGTACCACTTATAATTTTATTTTTACAATATGAGATAACTTCTTTCCTACGACACGAAAAATATTTCCATAGTGAATTCAATCGGCCAATCCGTTAATTCTACAAAATAGAGACGGATCAATATTTTTTATTCAATTATTATTATTATTATTATTATTATTATTATATATATATACAGCTTTAATATTTCTATAATGAAAGCAGATAATTTATTTACATTAACTCACAAAATGATGTCATTTTGTATTAAAAAATTATAATGAGAAAAACTAATATAATTCTAAAATAAATTATAATTACAAAAATATTTTGATTTTCGCCTAAATAATGTCATTTTGCACTCAATATAGATAAGTTATTTATATTGACTGCAGAAAAAATGAACCATATATATATATATATATATATATATATATATATATATATATATATATAAAATCATTTCTGCAGCCGCTTTACATACAACAACAACAGATGTATGGTTATGATTCTCTACATTTAATAATTTTATATGGTTATGATTCCCCGCATTTAATACTTTCAAGTATATACATGGCAAGTATTTGATTGCTGCACGTACAGCAGCTGCAAAAATGTATATACATGGAAAGGATTTTACCTCTGTGTGTGTGTGTTTATCATTTCTCAATCTGCCGGAAATAAAGTTATCTCCGGCTACTAAATCATAACCGTACAAAGATGGATCAATAGTGATAAAGGAAGAGAGAGAAAAAAAAGAATCATAACCATTCAAAGGTGAATCAATTAATATAAGGAAATAAATAAATGAAACGACATAATTTTGGAGTGGCCGGAGATAAACTTATCTCAAGTTGTCGGATAAATGTTTTTCCCATATATATATATATATACATATACATATATATATATATGGCTTATCGTTTCTCAAGTTGCTTGATATAATGTTATCTCCGGCTACTAAATCATGACCGTACAAAGATGGATCAACGGTGATAAAGTAAGAGAGAGAAAAAGGAAATCGTAATCATTCAAGGGTGAATCAATTAATATATATAAATATATATTAGTTTTGAGGTGACCGGAGATAAACTTATCTCAAGTGAGAAATATTTTTTCCATATATATATATCACATATTTTTTTTCCAACATATTTATGATTTTGGTATCATGCGACACATTTGATTTTATATTTGAAAATAATATAGTTTTGTTGCAAAATCGCAACATCTATAGTCATTTTCGATGGTCGCTTCACTATCATTACAACTTTTTTTTGTAAGCACTATCATTATCATTACAACTTAACGTTGAACTAAACAAAACAAAAAGGGCAAGCATTTTCTTACAAAATATTATCATTAAAGTAATTTTGTAACAATAATAAGGGATTGATGTCATTTTGGGATTTGGAAAAAAAATACATAGTATTTTAGTAAAATTTATAATATAAGAGTAAAGTAAAATTTCTAAAATATCTTTTTTATTATTTTTTCTAAACCCCAAAAGGCCAAAATGACGTTTTGGAGTTGTAGAAAATAATTTTATTTCTTGTTATAGAAGTAACACTTTTCTCAAATAATAATGGTAAAATATCGACACATTTATTATTTAATCTCACAAATCATTAAGTAACATATTAATCCCAATATAACATTTTTTACATTTTCTTTGACATTAAATACATATTAGAAAGAAAAAATTATTTTATTTTTTAGGCAGGTTGGCGGATTAACCTGCCTCAAAACGGATTGGATTGATATTTTCATCTCATTCACAACAGCGGGTCAACCCGCACGCCCTCTGTAATTTTCGGTAGAGTGGGGCGGATTTACTCGTTGTGCCAACTATATTGTCGTCTCATTAAATAAAGGGCAAAAGTGAAATTTGAACACCATTTTCCCTAGCGATGCAATAACAGTGCAATAGACTGTAATTTAGTCGTAAAAGCGACAGCTACAGTCGCTACTGTGAACGGTAACGTTGCGTAACAACCTATAACAGAGAAGCTTAGCAACATGTAATAGTTGTGTTGCCGCTATTAATCAATAACTATGTTTATTATAAGAAGTCTTTATTCTTTGATGTAAATAATTATAGAATGCTAGGTCCTAATCGCTCAAGCAATTCACTCAAACTCTATTATTTTCTTACTTTTTATTTAAATTCCATATCAAAGCTCTTGATCCAAGAGTTGTGACTTTTGCAAAACCGTAAGTCTACCTTAATTGAAACTACCATCGCTATCACAAGTGCTTCCTTCATTATGACCTTCTATTTTGTGCCCCTGTGTACTTGAAGACCATTGATCATTATTCTTAAGGACTTGATGACATGCCTTCATTTTAAGCATTTACCATCTGATAATGATGAACTAACCTTTTTTCGACCTTCCTAATTGAATTCACTTTCATTCATTTTTTTTGATAGGCTTGCTCCCTCTTTTTCCAAGAATTCCATGATATTATTCATTAACACATGTTAACACACCTTAACAAAATGATGTTTCCAAAAGAAAAAATACAAGAGTCTCACTCTTCCAAATGTATGTTCTGAATTCATATTGGGGGAAGATGTATTAACAGTTGTGTACTTAAAGAATCAACTATCATCTTCAAATAGTTTTGTCTTGTCCAGTTTTTTAACGAGTCAAATGCACCCATAATTTTTTGGATCCAACTAAGTCAAAACCTATACCTATTAGGTGAGGATGATAAACTAATATTTCATGCTTGTGGAAACCAATCTTTTTAATAAGCTTACGATAATGCATTTAAACTTTTTAATGAGCTATACTAATGATTAACTTCAAAAACTAATAAAAGACTAATTGCCAAGCTAACTAACAACTATCATCTAGGTAATATCCTTCAATTAGTAATTACGAATGCTACTTAGGTACTTTGAACTCTAATTATACATTTATATTAGTCAAGAAGACTTCGAATGTCAGTCTTATAGAAAATAACTTCATTTCGGAATGTTAAAGTACAAACCATTAAACTGATACAATGTATTAAGTCACATGTTATGGCTATATGATAGAAGTGTCTAGCCAAGGGCTAACAGATCAATATTGGATCAAGAACTCTCTCCAATGTATCTATGAACAAGATATCTTTGAGGTAGCAGATCATTGTACACAGATATTATGGCATTAACTAAAAAGGTGGTGTGTGCACAACGACATCATAATAGTAAGAGAGAGATTAGTTCGTACATGTAGGTTTTACATTTTATAAGAGTTTACATGTGGACAATAGAACTCTGGGCCTCTGATGATCTGTCCATGGGTCCAATATCTGATTGTTGTTGTTATGATTGGATTGTCATTATTAATAAGATTCTTTTCTGATTTGTGTGATTGCCTTTTATTGGGACTTCAAATATATGTGCCTTATATAGGTCCATAACATCTCCCTAACAAAGTACAATACTATAACTAAAATATAATTATAATATAGTACAAAACTTCATAACTGAATAAGAACATAATTTTTATTGGATACTACTTCTCTATGGACACACACATAATTTACTTTAAGCTCTTTCTTCCACGTATGAAAATACACATTTAATGAGATATTTATCCTAACAAAAATAACAATGAAAAAAGTTTTTGCAGAAGTGCGGTGTTTCCAACTATAACTTAGTATAGAAAGATACTCAATGATTTTAATTGAATAATGTTAACATCATAATATTTGAAATAGCCTAACATCACAAACATATATAACATTTTCTACCAAGATTTTTTAATAAGAATGAATTTTTCTATTTATCATAACTTTGTACTTTGCAACAACGCTCCCATGTACATATTTTTTGGATATCCATGTACATATTTATATTACTTTCTATGAGGAACTTTGTAAACTATTTAGGAAAACAAACTTGTTGATACCCTTAATTAAAAGGATCTTATAAAAAGAAACTGTAATCCACAACATACCATCACTTAAATTGAACATTACAATAAAAGCAAGAATAGAAACATCATTATACTAAATCTTGAAAAAAGATTATTATACAAATTTTTACCGTACGAAATTTACCAAATTAAATTTAACATGGTAATTTTGATAAAATTAAAGACATAACTTATCAATATAATTAACATGAAAAAATATAAATCAATAATTAAATATATGCATCTACAATTTTATCACATATATGACGCCATTAAGGTATATGTTACCATACACATATACGATAATTATAAATTATAAAATTCTAAATTGGTTTAAATATAAATTAGAATGTATATACATAAATAAATAATTATGATATACAACCATATAAAGTGAAAAAAGTAAAATATTGAAATATAAATTGATGAAATATAAAAAAATATAAATTGTTGTAATATAAATTGTAAAAATACAAATTACTCAAATAAATAACATACAACAAATTGAAATGTAGTATCCTATAAGGACAAGTTAGAGAAAGAAAAGAAAAAGTAAAACAAAATAACATTGTTGCGTGATTTATATTTTAAAATAATTAAATAAATTATCCTTAATTAAGGGTGTGTGTAATATCCAATTGATCCAAATTGTTTTTAGAATTGAACAGAACCGATTAAAAACATTGATTTTTGTAAATGGTTTTATCAATTGATCCAGTTTTTGGTTTTAAAATAGGTTTGTATATTCATTTGTCACACAGGTTTGGATACCCGGTATAACCAAACCTCTTTTAAGGTTTAAACCAATATAAAAATTAGTTAGAACTTAGACCCAAATAATGGAACATGACTATGTTTAGGAAGTTATTATGATTGTTATT